GCCCATTAACGACATTAATTAGGATGTTTCGCTTTCTTCTATTTATACCCAATCTAAACCGAAACTCATTTTGTAATTTATCATTTAACATTAAGTCATTTACTTTGGTCAATTAGAGATATTTATTTCCTTCAGACATCTATAAGGAAACAAAAGCAACTGATAAATCTAGTCATCAAAATATCAATTGTATATCAGTATCACAAATCACTCATCTTAATTCTCCAGAACAATGGATATAAACGAGTGAAGAACTTATCTGCAACCAATTTGACATATTTATTTCCTTCAGACATCTATAAGGTAACAAAAGCAACTGATAAATCTAGTCATCAAAAGATCAATTGTATATCAGTATCACAAATCACTCATCTTACTTCTCCAGAACAATAGATATAAACGAGTGAAGAACTTATCCGCAACAGAATTTAAGCAGTTGACTTACTTTGCCGCAATAGAAAGGTAAGGGCATTTAAACTTGAGACGCAAATAAAACGAGTGATGTAGAGCAAAATTATGCGGTTTAAACAAGAGAAAACAACTCACATGATTTCACATGTTTATTCACGTACCCATGTCTATGCTTGACTTGCTGAGATAAAAAAGTTTTGTAATCGTATGAGGCAATTATAAAAAGCAATTTTTTTTTCCTTATATGTATTCTGAATTAGTAATAATAAGACGTTGGCATTTTCTTATTGCAAGGAAATAGCAGAATATAAGTCTGTCCGAAATAACATGAAAATTTGAGTCATTAATATATCATTTGAGCTCAGTTCGATTGCGAGAAAGGAAACATAAACCAACGATTTGAATGAGTATATAAATAAAAACAAGTGCAACAGTTACAGAAGAATCTCGCTCATGAGAATAGTTGGCAAAGTGTTTGCACGCATCGTCCTCAACCTGCTGCATCTACTGGAGGACTATGTGTGTCCCGAATCCCAGTGCAGCTTCAGAGCAGGCAGGTCGACAACAGACATGATCTTCTCCCTTCAGACAAATCCAAGAGAAGAGCAGAGGCAAGGTCAGCCACTCCACTTGATGTTCATCGTCCCGACCAAAGCTTTTGACCTGGTCAGCAAAAGGACCTATTTATACTTCTTGGGAAGATCGGCTATTTTCAAAACTCCACAGCATGAAAATCGCCTCCCATGCCGATATGAATTGTCCTCAGACTCCTTCCTCATTAACAGCGTCTTGAAGCAGGGCTGAGTGTTGGCGCCAACCCTTTTCGAGATCTTCTTCTTCCTGCTCATATGCCTACGACACGTCCACTGATGGAGTATATCTGCACACCATATCTTAGAGAAGGCTGCTCGATCTGGCACCACTGCGCTCAAAGACCAAAGTGAGGTTAGTGCTTATTAGGAAAGTTCTCTTTGCTGACGATGAGGTTCTTGTGACACACACCGATGATGTCATCCAGAGACTGGGAGAATGTTTGGCTGATGCCTGCAAGTAGTTTGGGCTCCACATCAGCCTGGAAATGACAACCATTAGAGTGCAAGATGTCACCACTCCCATCAAAATCGACAGTTTCACAAAGAAGTAGTGAACAACTTTTCTTACCAGGGATCTACCATCAGTAAAATTCTTTCACTTGATGTGGAGCTGGATAGAAGGTTTGAAAAGGCAAAGACTATCATCGCCTGATAAAAGAAAAAGGTGTAGAAAAACAGCGCGCTGAAAGTGCACACCAAGACTTAAGTCTGCTAGGCCTGGGTTCTCAGCATTCTCCTATATGGAAGTGAAACCTAGAGCACTTACATGAGGCATGAGCATCAACTCAAGTCCTTCCATATACGGTGGAAGAAATGCATTCTGATAATCAGCGGGCAAGACCACGTTTTACATGGCAATGTCATTCATCTTGCGAGTATCCCCTTCATGTACTCCCTTCCAGCTGATGCCGTCATCGATGGCTGGCACACGTACGAAGAATGGAAGATGTGAGGTTAACAAAGGACATCTTATATGGACAACTGGCTACTGGCACCAGAAGGGTTGGCTGCCCGTCACTCCACTTCATGGATGTGTGCAAGAGGGACATGAAGGCATTCGGTAGTTCACTAGACAGCTGGGACGTTTAGGCCGTAAAGCTTAGCACCTAGAGACTGAAGGTCAACAAAGGTATAACAGTAGCTGATCTAAGAGGACTTCTGGCCGTAGACAGGTGCGAGAGAAAGAACAATGCAGCAGCAACCCAAGCAATTCAGACTTCCCAGTACCTCTGCACTAACTGCAATAGGGGCTGGCATTTGTGCAATGGCCTGCACAACCACAATAGTCGATACCAAAACCCCTGAAATAGATGACATTCCAAGGGCGCAACTCGCATGGTCTACTGAGACTGAGCTCACCTAGACTTTATCTCTTTTTTGCTCTTGCGAATGTTTTGCAATATGTATAATACCAAACGTATGCGTCTTTTTAAATAACATGGGTCACCAGTTAGAACAATTTGATAATGTCTTTAAAAATCTCTGTGCAACGTGCATAATTTTAAAGTCGAACCTCACAAGAAATGTGAACTTTGTCGAAGTCCCTTTTCGTTTTTTTTTTCTCTCATCATGCATAAGTTTCTTAATAAAATGAGGCCTTAATATTCAAGATATGCATGAAAATAATACAAACCGATAACGGTCATGCTTGCACAAAATTGAGTGTGACAGTAGTCTATGAGAAACGTCTCTTATAATTCTGAAATCTAAAGCTTAAAATAGAAAAGCAAAATCAATTAAAATTGTAAACTGTTAAATTTCGGTTTGAGTGAAATTAGGTACAAATATTTGTTTTCTATTCATTCTAACAACACTATTGAAATAAACAAAGGCAATATTTCATCTATATACGGATGTTTGAAAAATTTGTAAAGCTTTAAGATTTCGACATCTGTGAACCTGATATCTTCCATACATCCCTTTTGGGACATTAAAGTTTATCAGTGGCACATCAGGCATAAATGTAGCAAAATGTATGTCTTTGTCTTTTTGCATCGGTTGCAATGGTGATAAAATGTATTGTGCAAGTTTACTAAAGCTTACTTTTCTTCATCTTGGACGAGTTTAGATATTGTGTGGTTGACTTTGGTACTAATTAATACATTTGTGTGGAACAAATGTATAACAATTATTCTTAAAGACTTTTCATATGCTTGTGACTGATCTTAAATCATAAAATAGCAACACTTGCTAGGTCATTGTAGTTTAGCTCTATATTTAATAAAACTATTATAAGCGGGAGATATTAGACACTTTTGTATTGAGCATCTTCAACAACAGTGGACAGCATTCTGGTAATCCTCTGTGCTACTTCTATGCATTATGGCAAAAATGTCTCTATATGTGGTTTTAGGTCAATGGTTCCTAACACCCAGTTTGGTAACGAAAGAAACAAGATAATAATTCAATAACACACGGTACTCACAATAAAAATTACTGCAGAACATCTGAGATAACTTTTGAAAACAATATTTTGTCAAATACATTAATGTAGCCATGTATGTCTTTTAGCATTCACAAAGAAGATGCTGCAGTTTAAAATGGCGACGCTTGGCTGCATTACGAAGTATGGCATCATTATAGATTGACTTCCGTTCCTGGGAGGCTAGCAAGGCAGTTAGCTTATGAAATGTACAAGTTGACTGAAAAGTTTATCTCCAAATTACACAAAACGCTAGTCTAATTGAAATCAGATTACCACTCTCCTACGTGAAGATATGAATGCTGGCACTGCTCAATATCCCATACTCGAAGATAAAAGACTTCGCCTGTTTCGCTTATTAAATTAGCATTATGGTAATAACATAGATCTGATTTTAATCAATTTGCATGAAAATGGTATGATTACCGACTTCAAATAGTAACAATCTCATTATAAGCCAGTAGTAACAACATCTAATTTCCGTTGCATCTGAATTTTTCGTTGTTGTACACCGATAAACACACACGCGCGCACGCACGCACACATACACTTGTACTCATGGAATACAAACAATGATTTTAAAACATAAAGACATTTAAGCAACAATCATGTGAGATGTATCATCTGGCAATTTGTTTCCAAATGAAAGAAACATATTTTACTTCTTTTGTTTGGCACTGATTAAGTGCAATCATCCATATTTTCTATCATCTGGCTAACATGAGCAGTGCAACGCAGTGTACATGAAGACGATTAATGTTCTTTAGCCATTACTTTCAAATGAGTATTATAGATCCACATATTGTATAAAAGAATGTTTGTCCGAAGAAGTTTTTAAAATAAACAGATTAAAAACTAATTAGACAAACTAAAAAGCACTTGTGCATAATATAATCCTATATAAAGCTTAATAAATTTAGATCCATACATGCGACCGTTATCTATCAGTTTTATGGCTACATTTTCAAAACTGAGCTCGGTAATAGGCAATTCATGGAAGTGGGAATCTGTTACGCGTGAAAAGTAAAACTGGGAAATTCGTAATTTTTTTAACACATTGCTAATCCACGGGTGTCTACAAAGAAATGATTTAGGAAAACTTGAATCTATCAACATTAGCTATTATTAATATAAGTTACACAGACAATTTAGTTCTCCTGGTGTACTTATTTTAGTAATTCTCTCTCACTGTCAATTAGTACAGAACATTACAATGTAAAGGAGCTTCAATTACAACAAAATTGGGGCAGTTTTAAGATTTCCATCTATTTTGAATGTCACTTGCCAATGCTGGTCATCATACAATCAAATACATACATTGTGAAAAGAATATGATGTCCTATGAGGTTTGAAAACGTCAAATTTGTAACGTAGCTTTGAAATATTTTCAGCCATATTGCTATGACATCTACAGTGTAGCAATTTATAGTGATGTCAAAACTGGGGCATCATGCAAAAAACATGTAACATCATTTCCCACCCAGTCATATTATTCTGACGCATTGTCAAGCAGTCCAAACACGAAAATCTCATTGTTGAACGCCAAGCGAGGTAGTTGCTAGTACCATTTTGTATGACTCGGCCAGGGTTCGAACCTGGAACATCTTGCTCTCGAGGCGGACGCTATAACCACTTATGCCACCTAAGCGGTCGCAATGAGCAATATGCAATTTAAAAGTTCTGGGATAATACATGCTATTTAAATATAAGTTCACGAGATTATCTCTTGGATGGTGTAAAGGATAATGAAGCAAGGAAAATGTACATATGTTGTTTGTGTCATGTAGCAAAAAGTATTTCCTGTAGAAATGACCTGAATACAATATTCCAACGACTATTACATCCCATTGTACCATTTAATTATTGTGATTATTTGGTTGTTATTGTGGTGGTGGTGGTGGATGCTGTTGTTGTTTTTGTTTTTACTTTTGTTTAGAAACAATTGTTTGTCGTATCAACTTGGTCTTACTATTATATTTTAGTTGCGATATATATTAGGAATCGATAACCTAGGATAGACTAATACAATGTTATGTAATACATTTTCAAAACAACATAACATGCCATGAATTACACCATATAAATGTATTGTTTACCAGTGATGATCAAGATATTGGAACCAGGTGATTGCAATTGTTAACGTCTCAATAAGGAAACCGAGATTGTTGTGATAAAAACTGTCTTTATTTTAGACCACTTCTTCTTTTAAAAGTGTACACATCTAAAGTATCGAGAACAAAAAAAGATCACTTAAATTGAATAAATGTATACTCGGTTACAATTTGCTTCAGTCTTAAGTAACTGTTCACTGAGACGATTTCAAAAAGTTTATGATTTCATCACTGCCGAAGTTGACAAATTGGTCTCTCATCAGAGGACAAAACTAAAGTCTATGCATAAGGACAAGTGGTTTACAAGATCAGTGGCAATTACCGCAAATACACTCCTTTTATATAAACATTTGCCATAAATGACCCTGTAACGGTTCCAGATTGCATTCCTTTAGCACAGTTCTCTTGCAATGTCTGTCGCAATTCATTTAGCATAAAACATATACTTCATATCCTCTTGCCACATGTATAAACACTTTAAGAAGTAAATACTATTCTTTTATATCACTTATTCTCAATTTGTCTGCTGCCAGCTCCCAAATTTAAACAATTTTCTAGATATCGCCTAAGAGTAAAATGAGTGATGCCTTTCCTTTGCGTCAGGTCACGAGAAATACATGTCGTTCACTATAAATGATTTATATCAAAGTGAAATTCTGTTTAGGGACAAATTATTGAATGAGTCAAATCATGGGCCTGTGAGTGGTAAATGATTATAAATGAAAGTCAAGTGACTTAATTTTAGTTTTATATATATATATATATATATATATATATATATATATATATATATATATATATATATATCTATATCTATATCTATATCTATATATCTATATCTATATATCTATATATATCTATATATATATATATATATATATATATATATATATATATGTGTGTGTGTGTGTGTGTGTGTTTAGTATATTTCTAATTATACTTAAGTATAATTGATCCTTTTTGATGATTCCATTGCAATATGAGTCAATAATCACATCTGCAGATGGACAAAAGTTGGACACATATAGAGGGTAGGAAGCATTTAGGTACCCATGGAGAGAGAAAACATTGTGGTCAACAAGGGGAGATAAAGATTACTAAGATTATTATAAGAAAACAAGCTCATATAAGGGTTTAAAAAAAGCATTTCATAATAACGCAAGATAGATTCGCAACTTTTATTTGACAAAATGAAAAGCCATCTAGTCACCTTAAATCTAGGTACAGGCGAAATGTCTATAAAGATTTAGTAACCGTTCATCTGTAACACAAAATATATAAGTTGTTTACTTGCGAACAGATGATTATTTAGTAAAAATAATGATTATTTAATAAAAGGGCAGGAAGTTAATTAATTTTGTTTCAGAACATTGACATTCGATGACTAAAGTTATCCAGTTATTGTAGAAGCTAGTTTATATTACATGCTCTTCACACCCTTTCCATATTAGTATCTCTCATTTTATTTGTATAGAGACAAAGCTTCTTCATACATTATGGCCTCTATAGTGATTCACTTTAAACCCTCCAGCTTTTAAACTACCGAGAACTGAGTTATGTTTTATAACATTGGATCATCTGGTTCGTTTCCTCATATAACTAGATTGGAACAGCTATCTTCGGATAATTCCTACATGTTAGATTTGGGGATATAAATCGTTGAAAAAGTGAAGATTTATACTGTGACATGGGTTGTTTGCACATTTCTTTCAACCGAACAGTTGGACAGTTTACAATATAAACTGAAATTTGATTACATGATATAAACTGGAAGTAAATAGTTCACCTAACTCTCTTATTAGGAACGACATTTAGTTCTAGTATGCAAACATGTTCTTTTTTAAAGCAAACTGAAAATAAAAGAATCAAAATTATACACAAGGCTTGCTAAATAAATTTTGTCCCTCTTTCTTGACAGTGATACATTTGTATCTTTTGAAGTACATGCCAATTAAATGTGTCCCGCTTTCTTGTTTTTGTCACATCTGTGTCGTTTACAATGCTTGCTAAATAAATGTGCCCCTCTTTCTTCTTGGCGATAGTGTTATATTATTTGTGATACTTAGATACTAAACATGTCATTGTAAGGAATCTTTGTTTATGGCATCGTTGTATTGTCAAATCTGTTGATAATAAATATAATTTTTATAGTAATTGCCCATTGCAAAATGCTTTATTTCTTGTCCTGCATTCGACAAATCATAATGAACACTTGGAATAAAGTCATCAATATAAAAGTTGTCATTCTTAACACCGCTTTTACGTGTAGGATTATGGCGTTGCAATAACCAGCGATTATACTTCGCGTATTTTATATTTCGTGCCAGATATTTGATGCATGAGAGCTTCTACAATTCAACTTATTTTGGTCTTATTTATCGTCATCGGTGCGGTATTTGTTATGGTATTTGTTGTAGTGCACTCCGTTTTTCTGTTATTTGTATAAGCAGCCTGTTCTTGTTTACGTTTTTGAATGCTTTAAAAAATATTTCCTAAAAAGGGCTTTATATTTTACACAATTTGAACATGTGAAATCCAGCTCTTTCATTATCCAACTTAGATTTAAAATTATCTCTCAAAACTAGTAAACCATCTGAGAAAAAAACTTTGGTCACATCTTGAAATCATGCTTTGTTAAAGTTCAAAATTTCTTTGTAAATAAAATGGTAGGTAATGGTAACAATTACTTTTTTAAATATTTTCTTTAACTTAATTTATCACCCAGCAAGGTTTTTGTTTACAAACTCACAATATTGCATATTCTATGTGTACCAAATAATTATTTAACTAATTAAGGATAAACATTCGGCTATCACTCTAGTTTATTGATTCATCCAAATGTGCATGTTTCAATTGTTTTTCCGCCTCTGTTCAATCCTAAAAGCCATTCGTGATTTTATTAATACTGTTCATGGCTTCTTCTTCGGCTGCATCCAAAGTAGGGATGCATCTTTGATACGTTATCTTGTTATAAAATACTTTTTTCTGCTTCTTCCTAGCATTTCAATAATTCGTAATATAGTTCAAATTATACATATGCATAAAGTGCACACTTCATTCTGTTGGTTTTCCAAATCTTTCTTCAGCTCTACGTTAAAATGTTCAAATAAATTAGCTCGCTCTGTTTGAAATATTTGCTCATTAAAGATAGGGGCTATACAATTAAGTCTAAATCATCCTATAATAAATATAATCTACGCAATCTGGTGTTGAAATACATCCAAAGAGACAAAATACCTACAAGTATATCTGAAAGAAAAACAGATCCCAACAAAATAACTATTGGAAAAATAGTTTAAAAAATGATGGAAGCAGATGATCTGTTATTATGACATCTAAAATCGGGAACAATTTTTTAAAAAGAAGGCAGAGTAAAACAAATGAAATATTTGAGAAATATTAACATTAAACGAGAGGCTCAAAAGCACTCTTTAATGAAAATATCTGCTATAACTGAAAAGAAATCAATCACAATATATATATATATATATATATATATATATATCTATATATATATATATATATATATATATATATATATATATATATATATATATATATATAGATGCAATAAACTGACGACGAACAGTACGAAACTAGTAACTAACTAGCCTAAGCGCTTTCGACTCTTAATGAGTCTTTTTCAAAGGCAAATACAAAACATAGTTACGACAAACAAATAAACACAAAAACGTTGCGTTTGTAAACCTCTACATTTCTATCTTCACATGTGTTAAAACTATAAATACAACCAGCTTGTGTAGACTAGTTGCGGAAACTGAAAACGTTGTATAATTCCCTAAAAGTCTACAAGCCAAAGCGACATCTATTTTTATTTTGTGTACATATGTAACGCAGATTATATCCCGGATATTTGGTTCTATACCGGTTATTCTTATAGTAAAAATTGAAGGATAAGAAGATTTAGAAAATGTTAAATTCTACTAGTGCATAGTTTTCATTTTCTAGTCTTCTTGGTTTAGACCGCTTGGTTTCAATGTTCTAAGGCGGCGTATCCAGTATGATTCCTTTTCCTTCCTGGTTTCGGAACTCCAGCTGTGGTTGTTGGCAATAGCGATAAGTATTATATCACTGAAAGTGTGGCCAGGGGAGGAGAAGTGTTCTGCGACCGGGCTTCTGTACAGCTTTTTTGTCATCCAATCAGATCTATGAAGGTTTATCCTTATGTGTAGCTTTTCAGTTTCTCCCACGTACTGAAGGCCACAGATCTTACATGTGATGAGATAAATCACATTCTCTGTTTTGCACGTTTTGTTTGGACCATGTATGTTTAGTTTTTCTTTAGTCACTGTGCTAGTGAATGTCTTGGTCTCTATCATATGTTGACAGGTTTTGCATCTTTTATCGCCACAGGGTCCAGATTGACTAGGTTGGTTTTGACTAGCGATTGTTATTCGCCATATGATTTGTATTCTTTATATATATATATATATATATATATATATATATATATATATATATATATATATTTGTGTGTGTGTGTGTAGAAGGACGAACAGGTGCTAGTAGTGGGCCATCAG